GTGGAACCCGTTGTAAGGGGTTTCTTAGAAGTCCAAGTTGTGCAGTCAGGCTATAAAAGAATAGACATGAACAAATGGTTGAAGGCTACGCCTATAGCTGCACTCGAGGAACTCTTGATTAAACAATATGCTGATCCACATGCTGTAGCCAAGGCTAGACTTAAGCTTGACAAGATCAAGCACAGCAAGTGGACCGGCACCATGCATAGTCTGCAGCAGTACGTAAGTAAACTTTTTGCTACTCCTGATTTGGAGACGACTGCGCAGTCTTGCTTGGATGTGATTAAAGGTACGGTGGATCGGGTGGCAAAAAGGCCACCGGCCGCAAACGGTTTTTCAGCGCACGACCTACTTGAGGATGAGGAGGAGACCTTCGCAGAGGATCCTTCTTTTGATGACGATCAAGAGCAAGGATGCGAGGCCTCTTGCTCTTCGTCAACTCATGATGTGTGAGTACGTAAATGACGAAGAATCCATGAATGCCTTCAAGAAGACTGCCTTTAAAAGTAAGGGACCGAGGACCACAGTGAAGAACAACACTAACACCATTCTCCTTCCCAAGGAAGCGAGGATTCCACCCAAACTGGAAGATCCTGCCACAAAACCATGGGTAGATCTTTCGAATAAGTGACAGTGAGTGGAAACACAGGGTGAAGAAAGGGGTTTGACTGCATTGCACCAAACCGGGACATTCAGTCCAACATTGCTTTAGATTGCAGCAGGGAAACCAGCAACGGGGGTAGATACATCATCAGCACGCTCTACAGACGGAGAGGTTGAGCAAGAAAGTGCAAATCCTTCATTGGATTTTCATCCCACTCAGCAAACCTCTCCTGAGACCCCATCTGATGCTGATTCCAAGGATGAGAAAGTACACATCCTATACAAGGAGCCTTGGGTGGAGTCGGAAGAAATTGACTTTCATTCTCTCTTATCGCGCTGGGCTCACATGAAGCAAGAACGAGTGCAAGGGAAAACGAAGTTGATCTTCTTCAAACTCCGCATTAATGGTCGTTACATCCGTGCGTTGGCTGATTGTGGCGCAACCGCTAGCTACTTCTCACCGCACGACATTCGTGCGGCACGCTTGGGAATGAAGCAAGTGACTTTGCTGAATCCTTGTCGGACCCAAGTGGGCAACCAAGAGGTTGTCACAACTACGCATGCAGTCAAAGGTGTGCGCACTCCTTTGACGCAGACCGCACAATCACTCATGAGTTGAATTTCTATGTCCTTGATCAGTGCCCCTTCGACGCGGTTATTGGCTTGGGCTGGTTGCAGGCCCAATGTGAAAGAACCACGTGGAAGGACTCACAGTTCATGGTCAAAGATGTCATGGAAATCGAGCGTCCAGTCCTCTTGGATGAGCCGCACAAGTCCCAAGTAACTTTCCTCAATACAATGCATCTGCAAAAAGTGGCGCAGGCGCAAAGTTGATGAGCAAATGTATATAGCCTTAGTTAGGCCAATTCATGTACCTTCTATTTTTGTTGTCCATAATGATTCTACTTTGCATGCCGTTTCTACCTCTAATGCAACTACTTCTACCTCTACTAAATCTACTTCTATTCCAAACGACTCTGCTTCCAATTCTGTTGTTTTGGCTGCACCTATGCAATCCGGTATGCTTGCACCTGAAAATGATGATCCACCTCTGGAAGTCCCATCAGAAATCCGCAACCTTCTCAACCGATTTCCTGAAGTCTTGACCAAACCGCATGGAGTTCCCATGCGTTCGGTCCGACACAGGATCAAGTTGATAGAAGGTAGCACTCCTCCAAAAGGTTGTATCTATCGAATGGGCTCAGGCGAATTGGAGGAGTTGCGAAGACAGATCGATACATGATTGAGAAGGGATGAATCAAGCCAAGCGAGTCCGAATTCGGTGCACCGGTTCTGTTTGTCCCGAAGAAAGGAGGCAAACTACGGATGTGTATTGATTACCGCGTATTGAATAGAATAACAAGAAAGAATGTGTATCCTTTGCCACGTATTGATGATCTGCTTGATGTTGCAGGTGGGTGCAAAATCTTCACCAAGATCGATCTCAAGTCTGGCTACCACCAGATTGAAGTCGACCCTACAGACCAGCACAAAACTGCAGTCAAAACCCGCGATGGGTTGTACGAGTTCACCGTCATGCCCTTCAGTCTCACGAATGCACCGGCCACCTTTCAAAGTCTCATGGACAAGGTGTTCCGCGATCAGATCAACCGATTTGTTGTTGTGTATTTGAATGACATACTGATCTTCAGCAAGTCGATGGAGGAGCACATGAGACATCTGGAGGAAGTGTTGCAGATCCTTAAGGATGCGCAACTCCATCTCAACTTGGAGAAATCTGAGTTTGGGAGGCACAGCGTCACCTACCTTGGACATCGGTTGTCTGCTGCCCGAGGCAACCAAAGTTGAGGTGATCCCCAAATGGCCTCAACCGGCGAATGTCCGCGAGTTGTGTTCTTTCCTTGGTCTTGCGTAGTAAGTTTGTACCCAACTTCTCTATCATTGCCCGGCCGCTGTCCAGATTGACATGCAAGAATGTATCCTACACATGGAATGAGGAATGCACAACAGCCTTCCAAGCATTGAAGGAGGCTTTGGAGAGAGAGATCTGTTCTCAGGTTTTCTCTGTACATTTGTTTCCTTCAGCAAAGTTGCAACAGGTAATGTGGTACTGAGACAAGCACTCAGGACCTCAGGTGCATGCTCTGCTGTACAAGTATTAACAAAGGTGGTCCTAGAAGCTTTGGTGAAGGTATTATACCGCAGGGCAATCCTAACTTTCCCAGTCTTATCATTTGGCTCAAGAGAACTCGCTGAGAGGAAGAGTTCTGGCTTGTTTAAAGGATCGGTTCTTTGGGGCACGGGTTATGAACATAGGGAAGGCGTGGGAGGAAGGCGCTATAGAATATTTGTTTGGGGTTCGGTGACCATAATGAGGGGACGTGTCAAGTGTGGAATAACTGTTGTATGTTTTGACTTGCCAGGGAATAGGAATCGTTCCCCGGTGTAATGTGGGAACGTTTTAAACCACCACTACCTCCATGCCTCTTTTTGCCGACCCTGAATTTAACTGCGTGCTGTCATTTGCCAAGTCAGGAGTGTGAGTGGTTCCGTTCAATATTCCCGTTCTGGTACCCAAACGAAAAATGATTTCGTCACTGTGGTGACATTCATGAAAAAAAAAAAGGAAACGAAGCTTCAGCCTTTTTCAGGGTGGAGACATCCTAGTCAGACAAGTGTGAGCACGCCCTCAGTGAGGGCGTTTCAGCGCCGCAGTCAGACAAAAGGGAAGAAGAACAAAAAAAAAAAGACAGATTTTACGGCGAAAGCGGTCGGATGCATTCACTCAAGTACTAGTGAGAGTCTTCCCTCAGTGAGGGCCTTTAGCTTTCATGCGGCAGGGCACTAAGAACCGAAAAAAAAACACTGCAAGGAAAAGGAGCAATAGCAAAATAAGTTCAAATAACAGAATTCCAGATTGCAAAATCACACTGAAAACCAGATAGTCGAAAGCTGTTCCAGAAAGCAGAAATGCATTGAAGTCACACCAAAGGAGAACCAAAGCAGCGACTCATTTGTCAATGAAAGCATATCTGGCGACCACCAACAATGTAATCGAAGCTCTTCCTCCTACTGGCGCTCAGCACCCAGACTACCATCACAGCTTCTCTACTAGCCTACAAATGATGAAGCAACCTGTTGACGTCAGCAGCAGCAACCAAGGTAGATGCAGAAATCGACCATGTAGACCCCCACCAGGCCCAGGCACGTGCTCTCACATCACCTCCTCTCTCGCCCTCATCATGCTCACCCTCATCTTCTCTCCCACGTCCTACCTCCTTCCANTCCTTCCAGGAACAGGCACGTGCTCTCACATCACCTCCTCTCTCGCCCTCATCATGCTCACCCTCATCTTCTCTCCCACGTCCTACCTCCTTCCAAGGACCACAACCATACCCCTGCCAGCTTACTTTCAAGCCCAATCCCGGCTATAAAGGTTTGGCTACAGCGCGGCCTTCTTGCAACGGCCTGCTCAAGCAACCTCGCTCGCTCTCCTAGCACTCGCACTAGCATGCAGCACCCACGAGCACGAGCTAAAGCAGCGCTACCGCATGCGCTTGCAAGTGCCCGAATGCATCTCCCTTGGCGAGCTCTTTCCTAAATAGAAAGCGCTTGCCTGCTATGCCGCTGGCCTGGGTCGTGTGTGTGCCCTCTAGCTCCGAGTTGGGCCAAAGTGTCTGCGACCAGGCCAGTTCGGGCAGCGGCCTGGGACCAAATTGGTTAGGCACGGCCAACCTCCCAGGCGCAAATGTGCAGTGTTCTATGCTTCCCCTGCGTTGCTGGAAGAGCATAGAAGGCTCACGAATATTTCTGATTCTCACCAGCAGGGTGGATGTAACCAACTGACGCGTGGTGACTGTCTGGGGCCCACCAAGACTTGCAAAATTGACAAATTCAGGCCTCATTGAGATTCAGGGGCCTGCCTTCACTTAGGGCGCCGACATGCTTGCTTACAAGGGCCATATGCAGGTATGCCGAGGGTTCAAACTTCAAATCCTCGCATAACATTTGCAACCTGCCCTATTAGTGGTCAGATACATTCTGGCAAGTAGTAGTGTGAGTATGGCCTTGGTGACCCTCTTCCACAACATCATGGATGTGAACACAGTTCGTTCTTTCTTTGTTTTTGTACGTTCGACTACAGGCCCACAGGGCCCGAATCTTTTCTTTTTTTATTTCCTTCTTTTCAGCCTCCGACCCTGCCCCAGATCCCCGACTTCTTCAGAATACGGGGTAGTGGTGGTTTAACGGCAATAAATGTTATATGGTTCAGCTTGCCAGGGAAATAGGACGCCGGACTGGTGTTCTCTGCGATAGAATGGATGAATGTTCATTAATAACTAATAATAAGGGGAAAAAAAGGTGTCCTTACATGCAAGACATTGTCCAATTCAGTTGCATACCCAAATCAGAAGCCATACCCATTGGCAGCTTACCCTGTCAAATCTGCTCTCGTCTCCAGCACATCCGCTGCCCTTTGCAGAGCAGTCAAAAAGACCAGCTGATAGTTCTCCCGGCCTTTACCAACCTGATCTCGCAAACCCTTTTGCTCCAGCAGCTCCAAAACATCCCCTTCAGTGATCTGCAATTACAAAGCAAAATACTAACTATCAATCCACTTTTCTCAAATGGATCATCAGAAATGGTGATCACCCTCTCTCTCTCTCTCTCTCTCTCTCTCTCTCTCTCTCTCTCTCTCTCTCTCTCTCTCTCTCTGTGTGGGTGTGTGTTGACGCAGCTGAGCAGCTGAGCCGAGGGTCTTTAGGTTTTTGTGACAAAATGGGCACCCCTCAACCCAACTTGTTTTATTTCCAAGAAACTCAGTGTCATGTATACATGCCCCGCCAAGGCGGCTTGCCAGCACTGAAAAGTCTCTTTCTAACCCTTGTGCTCCAGCAGTTCCAAAATATATCCTTCGGTGGTCTGCCATTACAAACACAAAAACACTAACCACCACTCCACTTTACTCAAATAGAGCAGCAGAAAAGAAAAGTGATCAACCAATCTCTCTCTCTCTCTCTCTCTCTCTCTCTCTCTCTCTCTCTCTCTCTCCCCCTGCCCCAAGCCCCCAGAACATACACATGCAATCAGACTCGTTCTCATTCACACTTTTCATGCATGTAAACAGCAGCGCAGCAAACCGGCGACATGCGCCCACTCAAAAATCAAAGATAAGGCATCCAGATACGAGTTCACTTTCAACTGGCTATGGCGACTCAGCGCCCAAACAACTCACTGTTCACATACACCGGATCACCCTGGATATCCCACACGCGTCACTCTGAACACTCGAACACACACACACACACTTCCCACTTACTACA